TCTAAAACATTTTTCATAAAACCAATCTCAAATATTGTAATATTTCGAATTAATTGTAAACAATATCCATTTGCTGTTGCAGCACTATCGTCATTATGTTCTGCTAACTCACTTAACGTGGAAACAATTGCCGGTAAATGTTTATAAGAAAACTTCATTAATTGATAATGGTAAACCCATCGAGTATCACTCGCTGATGGGATCGCTTGTGCTGTTTTCTTATCTGATCGTTCGATTTTTCGTTTATTTTGTAGATTTGTTGTCTTATTATTATTATTATCATTATTATCTGATTTTTATCATCATTATGATCATCTTCATTTGAAAACAGTGATTTATCGATTGAAATTTGTAACTGTTGCGCACGTTTTAACGCTAGAGTACGAAATGATCCATCTCGAAGAAACACAGGAGTAGCACGCACTAATCGATATGTTTTAATAAATATAGATTCAACCGCACCTTTAACACATAAATTTAGTATATGTGATCGACAATAAAGATAAACAGCGAATGCACACCAACGAGCACGAAAATGGCCTTGTAGCTGAAAACGTAGGGCTGCAGCTCCATCGTAACACTGACAGATCACAGTGAATTCTTTGCCAGTTTCATTTTGAATGTTGGCCAGAAATTCAGCGACAATTTTGTACAAATCCTATAAAGTTCAAACTGACCATTCTAGTGAGAGATTAGGCTAGGAGGGAATTCATAAAAAAAATTGTTGCCGAACCTCTTCTCGATATACAAAATAAAACTTCAAGATAACTGATGATTAATTGCAAGTCTTTACTAATCGTAATCCTATGAAGTATGAAAATTCAGCAAAAAATGACACATTTTCTAATAGAGAGCTACATATTTTAGAATGGTTTCACAAGCATCCGAGCGCGTTTTGAGTGTACTTTGTGTAGTTTCAAGTGTGTTCTCTCTCGTGACACGAATGAAAATATCCGACGGAAAGATTGACTTATTTGCAACGGGGCGAAAACAAGAAATGGTTTGGACCTTATCTACGCGTAATAACAAACGAAGCTTTTTAAGATCTTACTGATCAGAAAATATAGACTAATCATTGGTCTTCAAAATGAAAAAAAGAAAGGATGAAGTGTGAGTAGACTATGTTCGTTTTATCGAAGAAAGCAATTCCTGATTGAAAATCACCGTTTTTAGGAAATTTTCAAGAAACAATCGTTACCGTTAAGTCCTCCGTTCTAACTGTAAAAACAATTTAATCGTAAGTGGAAGATACAGCTTTCCAAGGCCTGCACGATAGCCAGTTCAGCTTTCTTCGTCTCACAAACGTTTGAGAAACAAAACTTAAAAGGCGGTTGTTTAACTTATTTTTTTCTGAATTTTCGTACTTCATAGGATTTCTCATATCATGTTCCACCTTCGGATTTTGCAATAAAACAGTCAGTACATGTTTCGTAGAGAATTGAATGCGCTATCTTTTATTAAAAAATTTGATCGATTAATTATACAAAAGAGGAGAAAAGTTGAAAATACTAACACTATAATTATTTATGATCCATCAGTTAGTATATTTAAAGAAAAATATTCTAATCTTTAATTCACTGTTTTTAATCAAGATAAGAAAACTTTACAAAAGTTTTTTATAAGTAAAGATCCTATTCTGCGTCAACTTCAGTCAAATGTAGTTTGCTATATACATTGTAATGGTCCGGCTAGCTTTAAATCTTAAAAAGATACTTATTTTTTTTTAAAACAGAGGTTTAAAGATTTTCTGCAGGTTTTTATGGTATTTCCTAAATTTGAGCATTAAAGTAGTCGTTTAGGGCGAAACGAAGATAGTATTCGGAATGTAGATAAAAAATTGAGGCCAGATCTCAAATACTTTTATGTGTTCTTACCACTTGCATTATTTTAACCAAAACAAGTCCATCGTCAGGAAGCTTTCGCATTTATATAATAAGTTATCATCCCGACTCTCTATTGGGTTCAGAATTGAAATAGATAATTTTCAAATAAAGTCAAAGAATATATGTTTTAAAACAGCCCACATTATCCTTGCACGGCATGCGATTTGGAGGTTGCAACTTGTAGCTAACTCCACCTGAGTTATCGGAACAAATATCTACCTAACCACAGAACAGATTTCGAAGTGTGAACACTGTCTTAGTGAAGGACACTATATATATATTTAGTGGAGCATATCCATTATTACATTGAAAACACAAAACATTTTGTTTTATAACTTATCGTACTTCATTTCGTTTTATTCTTCTCTTCACTGTTTAGAAAGATTTTGTGTTTATGTAGAGAATAATAATCACTAGATTCTTTAGTAATAATCTTTTTATTTCTCTTTTACATACATGTGTATACCGATAAATATCTAGTAGCATTTCGGAGGAAAATTACCTTTATACATATACATTATACATTCTTCTTTAACCTGACGTTTATGTTTATGTCCTAATATTTGCGAAAGCTATTAAGAGCGTAAAAAATCTCAGGGAGCACATTCACGTCGTCCGTACTCCATGGGTTAAATAAATAAATACATATCTTCGCGGAATTCATTTCTGATTAGATAACGATAAAGAGAAAAGTAGTCAGTTTTTCACATTTACAGAATTTGAATTCAGTTGAAACTTAGCGTTTCCGTAAAATTACTTTTTATTGACTACTAAAGAGGGTTGAAAAATATTTTCATTCTAGGTTCATTCTCAATTGAACATTTTCTCGTATTTCTTTCTAGTAAAATATTTTTCAGAACTCCAAATACAGTTGAATACGTTTGATCTGTATTTTCTTGTTTATCTGACAGATGTGGGCATCTTAGCAATGCATCGTACGACTAATTATACTAAAAAAAAAGACAGACTATAGTTTCAATGCATAGGCTACTTACTGAACAGGAGTAAAAAGTTCGAACAATAACAAGACGTTCTTTAATCATTTATTGAATAAATCTTTGTCGACTTAGTCGGCAGAGCAGTCGAGGTGATGACGGGAACGGGCTCTACGTGCCAACTGTAACGTCTTGTTATTGTGAACGTTAAACTCAGTGTGAAAATAACTCAAACAAAAACAAAAAAAAACAGATCAAAGCAGAACGGGCTCTACGTGCCAACTGGGATCAGCACTGTCTACAACAGTGACCAACGGTTCTGCACAGCTCAAAAGCGTCTACAGTGACGTAAATACTCGCACTTATATTAGAAACGCCTAAAATACTGATACAGCAAATTTTAATTTACTAAATTAAGCAAAGTTCAGGTACGTAATAAGATATTTTAAATTTCTGGTTGTGTTCCCCAACTTTGTTTTTGATTTTGAGGTCATATTCGAAATCAGCATGGAAAATTGAGTCTACTCATGTACCTCACTCATGAGATCAAGCCTTCCTTAGTCCACAGTATTAGGTTGAAGTATTGACAAAAAACGCTGTTTTTCGTCGTTTTTTCTGTTTTTGACCTAAAAAAACACAAAACATGGTTATAGGATTTTATTTTGACATCTTTTAAATAGAAAAATCAATTCTGAACACGATAGTGCGTGTTTCAAATTTTTGACAAACGTTAAGTCGGCTGACGGATGAAATCGAAGGAAGGTTAAAACCACCACCAGCTGAAAACAGCAATTTACAGATTTGGGAGACAGATTTGGCAGGCGAAAAATAAAATTTGTTCAAAAAAATATCCGAATCTGCTTTTTTGTTCAGAATTCGACGCTGATTCCAAATATGTGACTTTCAATCGAAAGTTTTTTGAAACGAAAAATCGACTTATCGATACTACTCCTTTGTGACAACAATTCTATTGTATAGAACTGAAAGAAATAATGTATTTATATCTTACAATACAAGAACAAGAAATATTTTTTTATCAAATAGATTAGACTACAGCATATACATCAGTGACACCAATTTTTTAATAAACCAATTAAGAGCTCATCTTCATATGAGACAATAAACTGAACATACCCAAAAGAGATTATAAAATGTAGTTTTAAAAGAGATAATAAACTCTGACGCTTAAATGGAGATTACGAATCTTAATATTTCAAAAGAGAATAAAAAACAATCGTATGCGCACAACAATCATTGATCTTTTATTAAAAAATAATCGAAGCTTTCGATTATCATCTGTATTCAATCGGAAGTTTTTTGAAACGAAAAACCGATTTATCGATACTACTCCTTTAGAAATAATTATAAAATGTTAGACTTGTAAAAGTTATCTAATTATTTATACTTCTAATTAAAATTCCTTTATGTACAAGTTATTTCAATCTTCAAATCGAGTAGACGGACATGAATTCATAAGTTTAATGATATAATATATTTTTGATTTGCATCTTGTTCAACACTGATGATATGAAATCCGATACCAGCTGGTAGAAGAACTTCTTCTTCTATGGGAAAATGGGATAATGATTGAACATCGTAGGCACGTGTAGCAAATAAATTTACATTAGGAGGTATTTCCATAATAAAAAGCGTATTGCCATACACTTCAGCTAATTGACGATTTTTACTCGTTGATGTAAATGAGGACCATGTTTTCCATTATTTGAGTCCAGCTTTATACATATCAATCATTTTTAAATCTAATTGAGCACCGCGATAAACACATCCAACAAATTCTTGACATGTGCGACTATAATCTCTTAGTAAATAACAAAATGGTCCCAATGTGTTTAATTTAGAATAATCTAAATTTCTTAATGTTTTATTTAATATTTTATACAGGAAACTTTCTCTTGTGTACAATGTAATACAACATTTAGCTATTTCTTTACGTGGTTGATATTTTATTTTTCGTAGTTGTTCCGCCATCCAAACAGCCTCACTTCGTTTGCCAATTAATTCTTCTTCTTTAATCAGACCATGTGCTGTTGCTTCAATACACGATTGAAAATCAATCCAATAACGTTTGTTTTCTGGTGAATCTAACCATTTTTTCAAGAATGGACACCATGAATCACCTGAACCATAAGTCAACAACTGCATGGGCATTGAAACCTCATCAGGCGTCAAACAAAATCGTTCCTTACGAAGACATATAACTGTTCACAGATTACGTTATCACTTTTTTCTATTTTTCTTTTTTTGAGCTCGTCCCCCATGTCATCACTTGTTACTTTTCGACGATAGAGATCTGCATCGGTAGGATTTTCTGCCCTTCTATGCCCGTAGACCTTTCAACTCTCAGTTAAAAAAATAAGACACGTGACTACTTTTTGAATAATTCAGCATCAAATAAAGATAGACACTTGCGGTTTTCACCATTCGATAGCCAAAACTTGAGGCTCTCTTCGAACAAGCAGAACCAACTTTTTGAAAATTTTCGAAGACGGTTCTCCAGAGGATCTTTGGAAATTCCGAAACTCAAATAGGAATCTGGTGATCTTTTTGAAGACATATATAGACTGAAGTGTCTTCTACGAAACTGGATCCAAGCAACATCTTGAAAACTCATGGCTCGGGAGCTATGGACGTTTTTTATAAAGCCTCCGCACTTTTTTGCCGTTAGGTTTGAGACTGTCAGAAATGAATGAAAACATAAGCTATTGACTATGCTAAATCTCGTGGCAATATTAGTTTTCAGAATAAAATGCAACAACCGAGTGAACATGTATACTAGTTGAAATAATTCATTTTTTATTATTTTCATCAAAAATTGAAAAATTCATAGCTCAGTCAAAATTCGTCCAACCTATTTTTCAAAATGTCAGGAAATATTCTATTTTATCCGCTCATTCTGATTCTGTACTTGAAATCAATAAAAAATATTCTTTTAGTTTCAAAGGTCTCTGAAAACCTTTCTAGAAACCAAAGTATTTTCTGCTGATTTTTCCAACATTTGTTGAGCTTTACAATATGGTATGTTGCAGCTAGAATAGCGTATTTCCTAACGTTCTAAAATAGGTTGGATGGATTTTGACTAAGTTATGAGATTTTCAATTTTCGATGAAAATAATCAAAAATGGGTTCAGCATAGTCAATAACCTATGTTTTCATTCATTTCTGACAGTCTCAAACCTAACGGCAGAAAAGTGCGGAGTAGACCTGTGACAGTTCACGGTTCTCGTTCAAAGGACGGGAACTGTTTTTCAGTTTCCGTTCCTGAACTGGGCAGTTCACGTTTCTAAAAACGAGGAACGGTTCACAGTTCCTGTAAACGGGAACTACAGTTCGTTTTGAACTGAAAACTGTATCTACAACTGTAGCTACATTTTCTGATCTACTAGCGTTCTATCTCCTTTAACATGTTAGTGCATTTTACGGTTCAACATGAATACGACGGTTTATTTGATCTCGTTCTTTTACGTGCTTGTTTCCGAGTAAAATTTCCGAGAGATACTAACAATCAAAATAATAAAAACTATCAACATTCATACTTTATCTTTCAAAAGCATAGACATTCTCGTTGTTGCTGAAGTTAGTGATAGTCGATTTTTCCTTGTAAAATTATTAGCTTGTGCAAATGTACTTTCGCTAGTTACACTCTGTAGCTGGTATTGCCAGATACTTTTTAACCAATGCTGATAATAACGGTAGCTGGTGACCATATTCTGACCAAAATAACGACAAATCATAATTCGTTTTAGATATTATTCAGTACAGGGAAATTTTTTGTTTACTAGTCGTACTTGTTAAAAGTGAAGGTGGTGTTGGTTTTCGTGTTGATGTTAATAATATGCCACATTTTTTCAAATAGTTAGAGAGGAGAATAGGAAAAATGTTACACTGGTAGCTGACAAAAACTACTACATCACATCAGGAACCGAACTTCTCCAGCACGCGTTCTTGAACTTAAGCAGGATCAACATCTTAAGAAGTAACGAACTTAATTCAATCAGCAAAGTCTAACACCTGATCTGGGAGTCTCTTTAAGCATATCTCTTTCCAGTGCTCACTCTTTCACAATCTGATGTTTGCGAAATGAAATACATAATATATCAACAAATAACTAAAGGACACTAAGCAGTTTCCAGTTCAAAAAGAACTGTAGTTTCCGTTCGCAGGAACTGGAACTGGTGAACCGTTCTTCGTTTCAAGGAACGTGAACTGCTCCACCGTTCCTAGTTCAGGAACGGAAACTGAAAAACCGTTCCCGTTCATTGAACGCGAACTGAAAAACAGTTCCCGTTACCGAGAAACTGCAGTACAAGGAACTAAGAACTGTCACAGGTGCGAAGGTTTCATAGAAAACGTCCATACCTCCCGAGCCATGAGTTTTCAAGATGTTGCTTGCATCCAGTTTCGTAGAAGACACTTCAGTCTATATATGTCTTCAAAAAGATCACCAGATTCCTACTTGAATTTCGGAAAATCCAAGCTAGTGTTCCAAAGATCCTTTGGAAAACCGTCTTCAAAAATTTTTAAAAAATTGGTTCTGCTTGCTAAATGATAGCCTCAAGTTTTGGCTATCGAATGGTGAAAACCGCAAGTGTTTATGTTTATTTGATGCTGAATTATTCAAAAAATAGTCACGTGCCTTATTTTTTTCACAGACAGTAGGATCTTTCTCCGTGGCAGTGTTGCAAAAGTTTCTTTCTCTCTGATATGCTAATGTACTGAAAAAAAGGAAAGAATCTCATAAGAGCTAGCACAAAACAAATACGACAAAAGCTTCTCAATCGATGTTCCGCGTTTTGTGACTCATAAAAGGCATACAAGAAAACCTTCTCTTGGGATTTGTCCATTATCCATATTTCATTCACAACAAATTCACACCTTTAAGTCTATTCTTTGTCAAAAAAAACTGTACCCCTTGGAGAGAGTGGTTGCTCGTCCGTGGTAGCAGGCAGCACGGGAATTTCTGTACTTGCGCAGATCTCTATTTAACTATCTTCACCTCCGTTTTAATATCATAAAAAATTTAACGCCTTTTTTAACGTTGCGTGCGGCGCGAATCGCAGCAAGATATAGAACTGACCGACTGATCGTTACCACCTGTGTTTAACGCAAATGTTTTCGTACTGAACCACTCCTAATATTAAAAAGGTGCAATTTTTCCGCCATTTTCGTACGAAAAACCCCAAAAAATCACCAGTAGATGACATCATCATCTCGGCGTGATCCCTCCCACTAGTCATCACATTTCATCCATTTGCTAGACGACTCCTCCTCCTACTGGCGACGTTAATGTGAACAGTTCCATTCTTGACGCTTACAACCATTAACTTCACGTCGAATAGGTCGTTGTTTTGTTTTATCGCTAAGCTTTGTTTGTATTAAATTTTTCAAATCAATTTTATATTGATCAAGTAAAATTTCATTTTTATCTTCTTGATAAGCTTCTTCAATAATAGTCATTTCAACATCAGAGTATGTTGTCCATTCATTCGCTGTAGTCGACCAAGGGTCAACATCTGATTTAAAATACCAATAAACAACATCGGCACTTGACGTCATTTATTACACATAGAGTCAACAGAATCAAAAAAAGATACATACAATAAAAACAATTTTGTGTTTGCATAAAGTCTATCTCAATTCCCTTTCTACTCAAAGTCTACTCAATTCCCTTTCTAATGCTGCTCACACCAGATGAAAAAGTTTTTCTTTCATCAAATGTGAAAAATCTTAAAACATTCTTATCTTTTTTCCTAGTAATAGATACACAAAGAAACCTTCATTTTTTTTACTTATTTTTATACAATTTTGTTAAACGTTTTTCCTTTTCTCCGTATAAAAGTTATTGCTGTTTGTTTCGTACCTCTTACACTTGCGGTCGAGGTCTATTTATGTGTTTATGTGAAAAATCTTGAAACATTCTTATCTTTTTTTCCTAGTAATAGATACACAAAAAAACCTTCATTCTTTTTACTTATTTCCATACAATTTTGTTAAACCTTTTTCCTTTTCTCCGTATAAAAGTTATTGCTGTTTGTTTCGTACCTCTTGCATTTGTGCTCTAGGTCTATTTATGTATCAGATCCGACTTATATTTAAAAACAAAAATTTACATTTCGAACGTCTTTAAAAATGAATACGTGCAGTTTTACATTTACAGCTTTCGGTTCATTGATGCCTGTTCATGTTACCGGACTTGAACGGTCATGGGACTATTTAAAAGTGGAATTCGATCGTAAAAGTGATGGTTTAGAGGCGAATAAAGGTGATATGGTAAAATATTATGAAGTTTGTGGACCAGGACCAAAATTATTTGCAGTTAAAAATGATAAAGTTTACTATCATAATAATGAAAAATGGAGTCCATATCAAAGTGCAACAGATATTAAGTATGACATATGGAATATGTCTTAATTAATGTAACCAATAACTTTTTTCCGTGACGTTACTGAAAAGCAAAAAAAAAACAGATTTTCTTCTCCTCTAAAATTCTTAGGCTCAGCTCCTATTTTTTTGTACAACTGGAAAATTATTTTTTTATTTTATTAGCCTGATTAATCAGTAGGGGAATACTTTCGATAGCCTTATCTAGATATAAAGGGTGGCCCATAAGTCCTGACTAGATTTGTATAATCATTTTTCTAAAGTAAAACACATGTTTGTAAATTTCTCTCTATGATGACAAGACGCAGTAAAACACGCTCTACAAAATGGCTTTTGATTGACCCCGCTAGCTCATATAGTAAGAAAGTTATAGACTTAGAAATATGCTGCACAAAAAAGAAAATTTAACCATGAACTCTTTTCGTATGGTTGTGCTTTCAGTGAAAGTCTCGTAATTCCATCAAAACAAAAGATTTTTAGATCGGGTTTATTGTGTTTTGATCAGAAATGATTGCTCTTCTCTACCTAAGTGCAAAATCAAACTTGGATCACGTTTTCTATTCCCTGGTTTGGCACATTGTCGGAAACAGAAGTTTTCAATTTCTAAAACTTCATTCTCGAGTACACCATCTACTCTGAGAGAAATTTTTTACAGACTACGAGAAAGAGTGCATTCGAAAGTAGCAAACGTAAACTGGGTTCTCACTTTTGCTAAGCTTTTTTACGGAAATAATAGGAGAAGAAAAAGTTCGAGTCGAAAAAAAAGATAAGAATGTTTCAAGATTTTTCACATAAACACATAAATAGACCTCGACCGCAAGTGTAAGAGGTACGAAACAAACAGCAATAACTTTTATACGGAGAAAAGGAAAAACGTTTAACAAA